CTAGCTTGAGGGAGACATTGAAAGGGTTCCTCGTGCAAGACTGGGATTATTGTAACACGATTACTGTAACTGGATTAGTAAAACTCGGATTATTGAAATCCACTCTGTAACTGAAGAAATGGGTCGCACATCAGGGTTCCCTCGTCACGCTCATGCTAAATTCCTCATCTCCTTTACGTTACACCAGTTTTCCACGCGGGGTCCTTAATGAAGTACAAAAACGTAACTTACCAGAGTGACTAGTTTGGCAGGCGTCATCGTCCTCGAAAAGTAAGCTGATGTCCTAAGCGTATTCGACACCCTTTTATAGTAAGCCTACCGCTAATGACTATGCCAAATTGACCAGGTGAGCACAGTAAGTCTCAATAAGTCAGCGGACGCATAGTAAAAAATTCTTCGTAATAATAACAATAAATGTAAGCCACGTAACACAGCCACGTTTCACGGCGCCACTATTCTTTGAACGCACTATTACGTGCAGAAGGCGGTGCTACGCTAGTCCATGAAATCTGATATTATGATAGTTTCGTTGTCATTACAGGCACGGTCCGCGATAAACTGAGGCCAGAACCTCATAAATGTCTAAGGTGACCCGGTAGCGATTGCAAAGTTTGCACTAACTTCAAAACTTGAAAACTGGCAATCCAAGCACAGAAAGCTTAGGTTTCAGGCCTAAGGGTTCCCATGCAGGCCTACATTGCTCGTATCGTAGTAATGATACTTGTGCTCTCTCGCCCTTCAATTTCTTGGTCTCTTTCCTCACTTTGCTGTGTATCGTCTTCTTCTATGCCTCTGTTGATCTTGACCATCTTACGCTCGTCCGGATATCATACTAATATTTATCATTCTTCGGCAAAGTGCCAGAAAGTTCACTGTCTTGGTACTGTCGTGATACAGCGCAGACTCTTAATCAGTCTTCGGTGCGTTACTGCTGCGGCAACAGTAAACTCGCAGGTGGGCTTTTTCGTGAATGAGCTGACCCCGTGTCAGACTCAGCCCCTGATATGCCCTACCATCCTCCAGCGAAGAGCACTGTAAAGAGATTAGGGCTAGAGTCGAAGTGATGGGTACATATCGAAGCCACATCGTAAACCACCCTTTTATTCATTGGATATCATCTAATGCGCCAACAAATTGACTTCTTGGGAGGCCTTTTGTCTGGAAGTCATCATTTCACTAAGCAGTGTCAAGGGCTTCAATATTAATGAAATCAAATTTCGGTCTGAATTTCACAACATGTTACCAGTTTTCCACGAATTTATTGAGCACCTCAGATTCCTTAGCAACCAACTAAAAAACCGTTACAAATAATGCAAGCAACTGTGCAACATCTGGGAGGTTGCGTAGGAGTGCTTCGGATCCTTTATTCTAACCTATTCTAACCAATAGCTTCTTCAATTACACCTTAGAAAGATATGTTCATAAGAAACTCCTCTTTTGTCATTCAAGAAATCTTTTACGCCTGAATGGTTCCAAAATGTGGTTTCTTTCCTAACATATACTCGATTTTTCTCAGATCTGTTCATGGAGCAGGTTCTGCCAGAAACGCGTCCATTACATTGTTTCATTAACAGGTAGTAGAAGAAACGGGCACTAATACGGTTGTAGTGGATGCTACCGCCTCACCTCTCTATCCCTTCCCCTGACCGAAGCGTCGAGTACTATCCCACTCCCCCCTTCTCCTCCTCACAATGCGTTAACGCCAAAACGGTATTATGATAGCAATCTAGGTGGATGGGTTGCAGAATCCATGAATCAATTATATGGTGTCGCTTGACTACAGATTACGTATTCGAAACATTTAGAGCAGAGACTGCCTCTTTCCGAAAACCATTTCGTCCATTGTGTGGCTCACATTTTTTGTAGCACTAATATTACGGCGAATTTATGAATTTACGGAAACGTGTCTGTACTGATGTGGACAGCGAATGTGCAAAGGTCGGCTACCACGTCAGAGCCATGAAAAAGTAGAGGACCGTTGAAATGATAGCGATATTGCTATGCATAGTGAAAGAACACATAATCGCTGGGTATCCCTATCAAAGGACGGATTCGGTCGTATTAGCGCAACGGTGTTACAGAAGGCTAACATTTTTGATTTTTGAAGAAAAAAACGTTCTATGTTCTACCAAAATAGGTAGAATCGCTAAATTCATAATATGCGTTGCAGTAGCAAAGGGCGCTTGGTTCCAGGAAGGGATACATAGGATAGGACACAGACATCGATGGTGATCGACAGTACATGATAACAGCTTTTATCTACGAAAACCCTTCCCGACGTTTTACTTTTTTCTTTGCAGATATCTCTAAACTATGACGACTCAAA